ACCGGCCGACTGAGCGGCGTGAGTGTGGTGCGGTCTCGAAAGAAGGAGCGGGAAGCACCCGAGTCAAGGGTGAAGGTGTGTAAAACCTGAGCCAACGTGGTACCTGAGAGAGCAGACTCACCAGCACCTGGGGCAGCAGACTCACCAGCACCTGGAGGAGTAGACGCACTAGCACCTAGAGCAGCAGCCTCACCAGCACCTAGTGCAGCAGCCTCAATGCCTGGGTCAGGCGGAACACACAGGTAACAGTCACCCACATCACTAGTAGGCAATGCATACATGGAAGTGAGGATAGCATCATAGTCAAGAGCATAGATATCTACCCTCTGCCTAAGCAGCTCCACCCAGTCGGGGAGCTCAGCGGCGTCGCCAAACTCCGTACGCCAGGCGTCGCTCAGACGGGCGAAGCAGCGGGACTCTGCGTGACCAAACGTCCCGCAAGGCTGACCAGTCCGAGCACCAGTGCGAATGACGTACGGACAGCGAGCAGTACTCCGTGACCCTCCACGCTGAGCGTACCACTCACGAAGCTGCTGGGGCGAAAGGACCGCGCGCGGACTACGCTGCAGCTACACCTGGCCACTACAAGCAGCTCCCGAACTACTCACGCCAGAACGACTCGCACTACGGCCACCCCGACAAACCCAAGTAGCGTACCACTCACGAAGCTGCTGGGGCGTGAGGGACTCACGCGGACGTCGCTGGAGCTGCATCCGGCCACCGCCTGGGGCAGCAGGAGCAGTGGTAGCCGCAGTGGCAGCAGTAGCAGCAGTAGCAGTGCGGCCACCCCTACAACCCCAACTAGCGTACCACTCACGAAGCTGATGGGGGGCGAGGGACTCACGCGGACGGCGCTGGAGCTGCATCTGGCCACGCCAGGAGCAGCAGTAGCAGTAGAAAGAGCAGTAGTAGCAAGAGCAGCAGAAACAGCAGCACGGGCAGGGCAGTGCTCACCAGTGGCGAGAAGGGCAGGCGTACGACGGCGGCAACGGCGAGGCCGCTACCACTGTAGGGCGAGGGCTCCGCGGCAGCTGCAGGGGCGGCTGCTCCAGGGGCGGCAGTTGTAGGGGCGGCTGCTGCAGGGGCGGCTGCTGCAGGGGCGGCTGCTCCAGGGGCGGCTGCCGCAGGGGTGGCTGCTCCAGGGGTGGCTGCTGCAGGGGCGGTTCCTCCAGGGGCGGCTGCTGCAGGGGCGGCTGCTCCAGGGGCGGCTGCTGCAGTGGCGGCTGCTCCAGGGGCGGCTGCTGCAGTGGCGGCTGCTCCAGGGGCGGCTGCTGCAGGGGCGACTGCTCCAGGGGCGGCTGCTGCAGGGGTGGCTGCTCCAGGGGTGGCTGCTGAAGGGGTGGCTCCTCTAGGGGCGGCTGTTGCAGGGGCGGCTGCTCCAGGGGCAGCTGCTGCAGTGGCGGCTGCTCCCGGGGCGGCTGCTTCAGGGGCGGCTGCTCCAGGGGCGGCTGCGTGAGGGGCGACAGGGCCGCGAAGGGCGGAGACGGGGCCGCTAGAGGTGGCGACGGGGCCGCGAAGGGCGGCGACGGGGCCGCTAGGGGCGGCGACGGGGCCGCGAAGGGCGGCGACGGGGCCACCAGAGGCGGCGACGGGGCCGCGAAGGGCGGCGACGGGGCCGATAGGGGCGGCGACGGGGCCGCTAGGTGCGGCGACGGGCCCGCGAAGGGGCCGCGAGGGGCCTCGAAGGGCGGCGACGGGGCCGCTAGGGGCGGCGACGGGGCCGCTAGGGGCGGCGACGGGGCCGCGAAGGGGCCGCGAGGGGCCTCGAAGGGCGGCGACGGGGCCGCTAGGGGCGGCGACGGGGCCGCGAAGGGGCCGACGGGGCCGTGAAGGGTGGCGACGGGGCCGCTAGGGGTGGCGACGGGGCCGCTAAGGGTGGCGCGAGGGGCCGTGAGAGGGGCCGCTAGGAGGGCGCGACAGGCCGCTAAGGGCAGGGGACGCGACGAGAGGGCGTCCCACGGGGCGCGCCTCGGGCAGGGGCGACTCGCGCTCCGGTCAGAAAATTTTTCGATTTTCAGTGGTGGGCCCTAGGAAGCGTTCCCACTAGGGAACCTGCTCTATACCATGTGAAGAAATGAGGAATGAATGAACTAGCAAGCAGGTGGGTACAAGTAGGAAAACCTAAAAGTGTTGTACCCCATATGGTCTACCCCACTACAGCCTACACAGACTATAGCATATGAGTTTGACACAATCCTCCCGCCACCTTCGCACGTCGCACCCCGACCTCACGGCTCGGCGGGTAGCCCGCGCTCCGGGCCTCTGCTTCGACATTTTCCCAAACCTCAGTCCCAGGTCCGTCGCACGACAACCACAGTTCATTACCGTTACCACTGTAGTTTCGCTATATATTCTTCGCTCATGCCTTCGCTCATGCCTTCGCTCATTGTACTCTTGCTTCGATAGTGCAATTCTCGCTCGATCACTCAATTGCACTCGTAACACCTATACACCTTATGAGAGGCTTGGCGTGCTACCCAAAGGTTCAAATGTCGACATTCGACCATGGTTCTTGTCACAATGATTTAATCTAAAAAATATTTTGGTGGTTCCAGCCTCGATAATAACGAATGTCGATAACAGTTCGGCATAATTAAAAGAAAATTGCGACTAAAAAATTGCGACTAATATAAACAGTTTTCAAAAATCACACGCACGGGTTTTGACATGTATTAATGATCGAGAATTGAGTGTACTTCCCACTTTCTATTTCTCACCTTTCATCCCTCTTCCCGTCTTCTCCATTCTAGGTTGCTGCTGAAGGACAGTTGACCGCACTGTCATATTCAGCAACACTTTCCTGGTCCCAACTGCTAACACACGCGATTATCTTGCACATACTGTAGTCTAGCTCGAAATACCGCATTCGTCAGCAGTTGTCTGCCAGGTCACATGCCTTGACCTTCAGTGCACTTGAATCAAATGTGCAAGCTCGGTGCCGTGCCGATGGAGCTGGCAGCTGCAGCGAATCGCTTCATCTTGGTCCTAGTCTCACAGTCCATTTGCAACAAACCGTTCGGACAGTTATCATGGCTGGCAGGTCACCTCGTGCCTCGTGTCACACGACGGTGGCTCGTCCCTAACCATACACCACATGACCCGCCGAGTTGACGGGCGATTTCAACGTACAGTACGTGACGTACTGAACTATTTAGGTTGTCACCTCATATTGGCGGGTTTTTATTGCGGGGGTGCCGGTGAGCAGGCTACAACTGCAAGCCATGATGACTCCATTAATTTCTTCTGCCCGCTGCTCGGTCCCACTTGGCCCACACTTCACCGCCTCCCCGCTCGCCCGCCTTCCATGCTCCTTCCTCATTTCCAGTCCCTCGCCTGCGAGAAGCGGCATCTCTCGGCTCCCGCAAAGCCGGCGGAACCCTGTGGGCAGAGGCAGCAATACAGTATCATCTTGTACGTGTAGTGAGAGGCTTAGGAGGCAGGACACCTGCCCACTGGGCACAATCACGGTCAAGCCTGCCCTTGTGCACCGTTGCTGCTCGATGCCATCGAGTGGAAGGTCACCCGTGGAAGGTCACCCGTGGAATCGAAGGACGCATGTTCGAACCAAGATCATGGAAATAGCAAAATTGCCCTGGCTCACCGCATTTCGACAAGATTGTCGGCAAGCTACCTAATCTCTGAGTGTTGCAAGTTAACTGAGCCGCTCAGAAAGCAGTACCGGCGCTTTCAATCGTTGATACTAGTACCGCCGCCGCAGCGTACCGCATGATGCCTCCGCATTCCGAGTCTTCTAAAGCCATTCAAGTTCACTCGCCCGGGCCGGCCTCCCAATCCTCGCCGCTCAGCATGCAGCCATGGTCGCGAGAGGTGCCAGATGACGCGAGAGGTGCGAGATGACGCGAGAGGTGCGAGATGACGCGAGAGGTGCGAGATGACATGAGAGGTGCGAGATGACGCGAGAGGTGCGAGATGACGCGAGAGGTGCGAGATGACGCGAGGTGCGAGATGACGCGAGAGGTGCGAGATGACGCGAGAGGTGCGAGATGACGTGAGAGGTGCGAGATGACGCGAGAGGTGCGAGATGACGCGAGAGGTGCGAGATGACGTGAGAGGTGCGAGATGACGCGAGGGGTGCGAGATGACGCAAGAGGTGCGAGATGACGCGAGGTGCGAGATGACGCGAGAGGTGCGAGATGACGCGAGAGGTGCGAGATGACGTGAGAGGTGCGAGATGACGCGAGAGGTGCGAGATGACGTGAGAGGTGCGAGATGACGCGAGAGGTGCGAGATGATGCGAGGTGCGAGATGACGCGAGAGGTGCGAGATGACGCGAGAGGTGCGAGATGACGTGAGAGGTGCGAGATGACGCGAGAGGTGCGAGATGACACGAGGTGCGAGATGACGCGAGAGGTGCGAGATGACGTGAGAGGTGCGAGATGACGCGAGAGGTGCGAGATGACGCGGCGAGAGGTGCGAGATGACGCGAGAGGTGCGAGATGACGTGAGAGGTGCAAGATGACGAGAGGTGCGAGATGACGCGAGAGGTGCGAGATGACGTGAGAGGTGCGAGATGACGCGAGAGGTGCGAGATGACGCGAGGTGCGAGATGACGCGAGAGGTGCGAGATGACGCGAGAGGTGCGAGATGACGTGAGAGGTGCGAGATGACGCGAGAGGTGCGAGATGACGCGAGGTGCAAGATGACGCGAGAGGTGCGAGATGACGTGAGAGGTGCGAGATGACGCGAGAGGTGCGAGATGACGTGAGAGGTGCAAGATGACGAGAGGTGCGAGATGACGCGAGAGGTGCGAGATGACGCGAGAGGTGCGAGATGACGCGAGAGGTGCGAGATGACGCGAGAGGTGCGAGATGACGTGAGCCGCGAGAGGTGTGTCCCGAGGATGATATTTTTCTCAAGATACGCCGGATTTTTCAGGATTCAATTTTGCAAGTCCTTCTTCATGGGATTCCACTACCCATGTGCGTCAGGACACGTTCAGTGTGCCGTTAGCCTTTCACGCTAACGCTCTTTCACGCTCAATGCTCACGACAAGAATGCCGCATTTCACGCTGGTACTGCCCCCCGCACTGAGTGGGCAGGAGGACGCGGTGCTGCTGCGCCACGCACTGCAGTGCGGCACCAAGCAGTGGGGCGAGCTGGGGAGGAGCGGGCAGCTCAAGAGGAGCAACAAGTCGTGCTGTAACCGCTACATCTTCCTCCGAAGGTAACCTCCACCCCAGCCCTGCCACACCACATGCATTTCGGTGACCCTCGCCGCGTGTTCAATAGCACACACCTCTCTCCCATCGCTTGCGAAAATGGCCTGTGTGGTGATGGCAGGAAGTTCAGTGACCACTTTCGCCAGCACTTCCTCCAAGAGCACCTCCAAGCCATTGGACGCCCCCACCACTTTTCGTTTCACCGAGACTGTCAGCCGCTGCTCTGCCAGGATTTCAGTCAGCAGCAGCAGCAGCAGCAGCAGCAGCGTTTGGAGGGCGAGGGTGCAGGTGCAGTGACGTTGGGAGGGCTGTCGTTGGACGAGTGCATGATGGTGTTCTTCGCCCCCAATGCACGCCGCCCACCAGCCCCAACCAACCTCTTATCTCTCGCTACCCCTCCTGCTTCCCACGCTCCTCCTCCTGCTCCCCCCGCTCCCCCCGCTCCTCCTCCTGCTCCCCCCGCTCCTCCTCCTGCTCCCCCCGCTCCTCCTCCTGCTCCCCCCGCTCCTCCTCCTGCTCCCCACGCCCCTCCTCCCACTTCTCGCACCGCGGCCTTCTCTGCTGAGCCTGCTTGTATCACCAACTTCCCGTTCCCCCATGATGCCTTCCCGGTCGCAGCGGCCTCCGACGCCGCTGGTCTGCGTAGTCCCTTGAAGCGACCACGCAGCGAGTGCCCAGGGCTGGGGGTAGACCAGCCACTGCTGGATGCACGTGAGAACGGGTTGCTGCGAGACGGGTTTCTGCGAGGCGGGTTTCTGCGAGGCGGGGAGGTGTGTAGCATGGAGCGCTACGGTCAGTCAGTGGCGGAGCAGTTCCAGCAGCACGGGGAGAGCAGCTGCATGCAGGCAGCTGAAAACGCCCTTCTGGATGCCCTGCTGCTAGGGGAGGACCACCAGCAGCAGCAGCAGCAGCAGCAGGGAGGAAGGAGGAACAGGGCGCAGCGGGTGTTGTGGCCGCGCATTGGGTCGGAGAGTGCTCTTCCAGACGACGTGCTGCTGGGATGCACCAGCGAGGGCCCTGCTGTCATGCACCGTGCTGCTCTCTCTGCTCCTCCGCCCACCCAGCCACGCTCAGAGCTGCCACCGCCGATGTCCCCCCAAGTCGCTGCTCCGCCTGGCTGCGCTCCCTGCATTGGCGATTTCAATCCCTGCTGTGGGAATTTCGCTTACTGCATTGGGGATTTCAGGGACATGAGCAGCTGCAATGCAGAACCACTCGCGTAGAAGAGTTGTGGCACACAGGAGCAGGAAGCTGTGGATGCGTACATTGACATGCTCGACTCCGGAGTCAGCAACGCCAACAGCAACGACAACCATGCTCTCTTTCTTGACATTGACCCGCCCATGGCTCACCTGTTGCTGGGTGGGCGTGCCCTCACCGTGCCCTTTACCAGTGGGTCTCAGCAGCAGGTGCTGGCAGCATCTGGTGCTGCTGGGGCAGCCCTGCCCGAGTGGATGGTGGAGCAGGGAGGGATCGGGGAGGCAGGCGCTCAGCCACACAGGCAGCAGCAGCAGTAGCAGGAGCAGTGGAAGTCTGGTCAGCATCTAGAGCTTGAGCACGGTCTCTTGCTGCCACTGCACCAGCCACAGCTGCAGTTGCAGCCACTGCCACAGCCTCTCCCACAACCACTGCCACAAACTCCTTTGCTGTCAGCCCCTTCTCACCATCCACTCCCACATGGCGTCACTGGTGCACTGAACACGCCCTCAAACCCAAGGGGCTCGCACATGCAAGCTTCCGTGCAGGCACACCGTGACATGCAGCAGCAGGCCGTCTCCCTGGCAGCTGCTGCTCTACCAGCTCTCTGCCAATCCCATGCTGCCGCCGTGGCCCGACGCGATCTTTAATCTAAGCATTGATGCTGCTGCTCCGCATGCCACAGTCGGTCACCGGCTCAGGTTGGATGGGCGTGACTCAACTAATACGTTGAAGGAAAAAAAATCGACCTTGATGCGAATTGGGTCGGGGTTGTGATTGACCATAAGAACGCTGTTAGTGAACCCCTTAACCTTCCGCATACGGCGGATCTTCTGTGAGATGCCTTCAGGCTCCATCTCACATACTGTATCTTTAACATATACTTCTATATACTACTTATAGTACAGGTATCCTTCTAACTGCGATTTGACTGCACAGAGCTCCACAAACGGCATCATGTCGTGCAAAGTACATTCCCTACCTTCTTAGTATAATATAAATATAATTTATCAACATTTGTTTTTCCACCTCACCTCCCTTGATAGTTGCTGTCAAGCAGCCCCTACGATATCAAGAAAATTTCCCTGAAATTCCTGATTTCCAGCCTAGTTTTGTGTACCTACACTGATCTTTCAGTGTTGAGATTTTTGTGACACTGATTTTTCAGCCTTTATTTCATAGCTAACACTGATTTTTCAGTCTTTTATCGAAGTGTACAGTGAATGCACATTCCGAATCCTTCCCGTCAAACACCCGAGAGATTTAGTGAACCAACATCTTCACATTGTCACTATAAGATCCAGTAAGACACAAATCAACCCGAATGGTAAGGTTCCCAGTTCGAATCTCCCGGTTGACGTGTTTCGTAGAGACTCCTCTCATATACCTGTCAAATTATATATATGCTATATATGTTTAGGCTGTAGTGGGGTAGCCAGTATAGGGCACAGCCCCTTTAGGGTTTCATACCTGTACCAAACTCTTTCCTTGTCCAATCATCCCTGCTAGTTGTTTCTGACATGGTATTCAGAGCAGTAGGTCCTTAGGACCGTTTTTTTTCGGGCCCACCTACCGTTGCGGATACTGAGCTACCCCACGACTTGACTGCGCTGCGCTGCCCGCGCGCGCCCTGCTTTGCCTGCGCTGCGCTGCCCGCGCGCGCCCTGCCTTGCCTGTACTGCGCTGCCCTAGTCCCGTGCGCCGCCCTGCATTCCTTGCGTCGAGGGGCGGCAGCGCGCCGCTCAGGCCCTCAGATTGGTTTAAGGGCATGCTGATGGATCAGCATGCCCTGCCCAAAGTAGTGACCAAATCAGCGTTGCGGGTGAAGTTTATGCTGATTTTGTCAGGGTAAAATTTCATGGTTAACTGATTTATTAGTGTAGGAATTAAGCTTGAACTTCGTAATCAGTATTTTTAACGTAGCTGTCTGAGGCTTCGTCCTGTTGTTAGAGAGGTCACGGGTTCAAGTCTCGTGAGTGAGAGGTTTACTAGAGCGTGGTGGTGATTTACGGCCTAATCCCACGTCCGCGCACCCCATGTCTTGTACCCTGTGCATTTTTGTAAGTCCGAATCAGTGTGACTCAGTACACTATACTGATGGTTCAGTGTCACTGGTACACCTATACACTAATTCGTCAGGGTAGTCCTATACTTCAAACTGGAAAATCAGTGCAAATATAAAGAAGATACTGAAATTTCAGGGAAAACGAAAATCACAGCTACAAAATCAGCCTAATCAGCGTGTTTTACGCTGATATCTGAGGGCCTAGCGCCGCTCCTCACTCCTCCTCGTTCCCTCCCACAGAGGCTCCACTGCAGACTCTCCACCTGGACGTGTGGGGCCCAGCCCGCGTCCGTGGACAGGGCCACGAGCGGTACTTCCTGCTGGTAGTCGACGACCACACGCGTTACACCACGGTCTTCCCCTTGCAGCGCAAGGGGGATGTCCATGCTGTTTTGATCCATTGGATCCGCGCTGTTCGTCTCCAGCTCCGCGAGCGTTTCGAGTCGGACTTTCCTGTCCTACGTCTGCACTCTGACAGAGGTGGTGAGTTCTCCTCTGACCTCTTGCCAGCCTACTGTGAGGAGCACGGCATCCGCCAGACGTTCACGCTACCGGCCTCTCCGCAGCAGAATGGGGTTGCTGAACGGCGCATTGGCTTAGTCATGGAGGTCGCTCGTACCTCCATGATCCTGGTAGGCACCGAAAGGTGCACAAGAATGCTGCTAAGAGGGTACTGCGCTACTTGTGCAGTACATCGGGCATGGGGCTCGTGCATGGAGGACGGGGCGACGTTGTCCTCACTGGGCACTCGGACGCTTCTTGGGTTGACGACCAGGCTACGCAGCGGTCGTCACAGGGTTACACCTTCAGTCTTGGCTCTGGCTCTGTTTTGTGGCAGTCTACATGCTCGTCTTCTGTTCTCGGCTCCAGTTGTGAGGCTGAGATCTACGCCACAGCCATGGCTGCACAAGAGTTATGCTGGCTCACCTACCTGCTAACCGACTACGGAGAGCGGCCTCGTTCTCCTCCAGTTCTGTACGTAGACAACAAGGCCGCCATTGCCTTGTGTCAGGAGCACAGACTGGAGCACAGAACAAAGCACATCGCTCTGCGTTACTTCCTTGCTCGAGAGTTGCAGCAGCGTGGTCAGCTTCGTCTTGCTTACGTGGCCACTCGGGCCAACACTGCTGATATATCCACCAAGGCACTTCCGCCTGGTGATCATCAGCGCTTTTGTACTTTGTTAGGCCTTGTGCCTACGTTTCCTCACTAGCTGTAGATTCTGCTTGTATAGTGATCTATATATCTTTATATATATATATATATACCTGCATGCTTGCTCTTGTTAGGTAGTGATCACTGTGTTGCTGTTGTTGCATATATACCTCTGCATGTGAACTGGCCTTGTGGCCCTCTGCTTGTGCTCAGTGTGTGTGGTGACGTTGTGATCCACCCTGAGCTTACTTTGCTTCTCTTGACTGGTCTTGTGACCAGGGTTTAGGGTGTAGTGGGGTACATATGTCAAATTATATATATGCTACATATGTTTAGGCTGTAGTGGGGTAGCCAGTATGGGGCACAACCCCTTTAGGGTTTCATATTTGTACCAAATTCTTTCCTATTCCAATCATCCCTGCTAATTGTTTCTGACAATACCAAAGCAGAATGTGATTGAAAATGTCAAGAATGAAAGGCAGCAGCAGCTGCTGGTGCTGTTGCTGCTGCGGCTGCTGCAGCTGCTGCTGCTGCTCCTCCAGCCGCTGCTGCTGCTGCTGCTCCACCTCCAGCCGCTGCAACTCTCTCTCCTCACGGGCACGGCGAACACGAGCCTGGTGCCGGGTCGGGTAGGGGTGGGGGGGAGTAGTGTCCGGGGCCGCGGCAGCCCCAGGACCACCCTCCAAAGCACCCGGCGCACCACCAACATCAGCTCCCTGAAGACGAGAGTCTCCTGCAGCCTCGGGCTCAGCCCCAACTCCAACACCCCCAGAGCTAGCACCGACAGGGTCCTCGCCACGAACACCGGCTCCCGCAGGGTCTGCCGCAGGCTGCGAGGAGGAATGCGGGGAAGGAGGCTGTACCTGAGGGGCTACCGAAAGGGGAGGGGTAGCGTGGGACACACCTGACGGGGCTGGACCAGGGGGGGGAGGCTGTACTGGGGGAGCAGGAGGGGGAGCGGAAGTCAGGAAGAGAGGGGGAGGAGGAACCGGGAGACCTCGGCAGGGGTACCTGACGTAGTAGGGGACGGACTCGTCGAAACTGACGTCACGGGAGTCAAGGAACCGGTGAAGGGGAGGGTGGTAAAAGGTGAAGTCAGAGGAGTCCTCTGAGAAACCAAGGAAGACACAAGGAACGGCGCGAGGTGAGATCTTGTCCGCGGAGGTGTCGCGAACAAGAGCCAAGCAACCCCAGACACGAAATCGCGACGCAACACCAGGGGACCCGGTCCAAAGACTAGTCGGTGAAACCTCTGGCCGAGAGACACGTGGCCAGAGGTTCAGCTGGTGAGCGGCGTACCTAACCGCGTAGGGCCACAGAAAATGGGGGGCATGGGCGTGACTCAAGGAGGTGCGGGCGATCTCCATGACCAAGCCTATGCGGCGCTCAGCAACCCCATTCTGCTGTGGAGACTCTGGAAGTGTACAGGACTGACGAATGCCCTGCTCGCGACAGAATTCAGCGAGAATGCTGGAGCGAAACTCACCCCCACGGTTGGAGTGAAGACAGCTGATACGACGACCGCGAGTGTCCGCAGTGGTAAGTAACCACCGTATCAGCGTAGAAGCCACCTCAGACTTCTTTGCTAGGGGGAACACTGTGGTGTAGCGGGAGTAGTCGTCAACGACCACCACAAAGAAACGCTCACGCTCAGGGCCAAGGCGAGAGGCGGGGCCCCAGACGTCTAAGTGGAGCGTCTCAAAAGGCTCGGTGGCCGGATGAAGGGAGGAGGAGTGAGGGGTGGCGCGCAGCCTACCCTCGACGCAGGGACCGTACGGTGGTGCAAGCGAAGGCGGCAGCGACGGCAAGACACGTGGGAGGCCTAAGACAAGACGCTGACGAGACATAGCGCGCAGACGAGGGAGAGACAGGTGCCCCATCCGGTGGTGCCACAGAACGGTGGGGTGGGCAAGTGACCGGCAGGAGCACGACGCAGCAACTGGACAAGACATGGGAACCTGACCAGACACAGCTACCTGGGAGGACGCTGCAACCTGGTGAGACGCAGGGACCAGAATGGGGGAAGGAACAGGGGCCGGGGGCAGTAGTCCCTGCTGCTGCTGCCCACCAAAGCTAGTGTGAAGTGTGTAGAGACCAGAG